CGCGCTAGTTCGTTCAATACTGCTTTGGACAACTGGCCTTAATAAAGCAAATAAAAGAAAATACAAGAACACGCGTTTATTTTAATCGAAGCACTGCAATTTTGTATGCGACTCTCGTCCGGATTATCGGACAGGTCCATATAAAGGAGTGGTTACGGTCGCTACCAAAAATTATTAGAATTCGTTGGCTTAGCCAATCCTATGCACTACAATCTAGGGAAAAGCAAGTACAACATTTCAATATTCAAAATATATGTATTTTTTCTTTTTAAACAATAAACACTAAAGCTTAAAGGAAAAATAAATTAACATCAAAATTATATTATTATTAATGAGAAAAAATTTATTAAATAGTATAAAATTAAAAATTCCAAATATAATAAGCGCCTAAAAATTAAATAAAATCGAAAAAAATATTTTTTTTAACAATAAACTAAAAATTAAATCTACATCTAAAAAATCTACATTAAAAAATATACTAAAAAATTTATAAAATAAGTTTCTTAAAACAAAATTATATTAAGACCACATTTTTTTTTTTTTTAAGACAATGAAAATTAAAAATTAAAAGAAAAGTAAATAAACAAAAAAATACATTAAAAGATAAAAGAAAATAGTAAAATAAATTTCTAAAGTTTAGGCGATGTTAAAAAAATATTTTTCTTTTTCAAACTAAAAAAAAAAGAAAAATTAACTTCCCAAAACTAATTAAAATAATTTTTTTTTAAGCAATGAAATTAAAAATTTAAAAGAAAGCAACTGTGGAGACATCATTCCACCTGCTCATTGAATGTAAGGCCTTATCGAGGCGACGTCTATACAGCATAGGCTCAATGTGGAGCTTTGCTGAGCACATCCTACAGTGCATCTCGTGTCAGGGTTGTCGATTTGGCTGTTGGTTGTCGCGAGCACCCCGCCCTCTTTCCAGACAGGTTTTGGTCACTTCTAAGTTTAGCCGGGAGAGATAAGTAGCTTTTTAGTCTGTGGTACTACCTGAAACGACAATTTTGTTTTCTCGATGGTAATGGGCGGCAGTCGACTTGGATTCATCGTGACGGTATGAGATGGCAGCCTATACATACCTATAAAAGAGAAGATTTCCCCACTGCCTGTAGTTGGGTCTGACCAAAGTGAGAGGGATGTTAGCGAGTGGCATGTGAAAAGGTGGTTCTTGTCATTGGGGGAGTATCTGGATACTAATTGGTGATATCAGGGTTAAGTCTGGATAAGTAGATTTTTAGGTGGCTACGATATCCTGAGTAACGCGGGTCTCTCGTGGCAATCGAAGCTATCTGTCTGGGATATGTGTTGATTGGGCTCCGGTCAGGACATTCAGAGGTCGAGAGTCGACTCTCTATTTATAGTCTCTAGAGCTGGCTGAGTTGTTGTGAAGAGTTTAGGGCACAATAGACCTACGGGTCGCAGTGGTTCTCTATCTTATCTATCCACAGGTAGGATTTGGACGCCGCTGGTGCTCAGGCGACATCAGAAGCCATCCTGTCGCTGTCCGGAGTGCGGCGTTCTTACACGTATGCAGCTTTGTCCACTGCGTCTAACTAGGCCCCGGCGACCAAACAGACGCAGCATAGTTCAGATCCAGCTGACCGATTACCTTGCATGTGGCGAACAACGTTTCTTTGTCTTTGCCCCAGGTACGGCCGGCGAGCGACTTGAGGACTTTGAAGGGGCTCTATACTTTATTAACGATGGCGGTCGTGTGCGTGGAGAAAGAAAGCAGGTAGGACACCACTCTGTGAAAGCCCTTGATTAATGCTGCTAGGTTTTGAGGTTTGATCTCGGAAGATTACTGACGACGGTCGATCACTCCTATAATTCCCCGACCATCGATATGCACATCATGGCGCCTGCTGTGTGTATTTCTGCCTTGAAAAAGCTTCTAATAAAATCGATTTGCCGTTTGAACGCGGCTTAAAACCGTAGGCCCCACCTGTTGTGTAGCAAAATCAAGACGCATACCACAAAGCCAAGGAGAAGCTCAGCCAAACATTAGCAAAAAGTAGAACCGGCAAACATTTATTTTTATTTTTTAATTTAGTTCAAGCCTGGTCTCCTTGGCCCACGATCTGGCCAGGATAATTGCGATTTCTGGTAGTGAGGAAATTGGAAACAACAAATTTTTATTTTACTGCAAAAGTAAAATGCATCCAGTGTTATTGTTTTCACATTTGTTCGGAAAGAACCATCTTTAACCCTAGAAGTACTTTCTTCGTCGAATCGACAAGAGAAATAAAATATACCCATTCAAGTGAAGAAGGGTGTATATTTTTATATTCTTTTATCTCCACACCGTTGTTTATGAATAAATTTGGTATACAATTTCATACATAAAGCTTATGAAGCTTATCAGAAATAGTTTTTATGCCACCGATAGTGGCTGATAAAATATCGATCAGCTTTGAACAAACATGGCTAATCTCCATACATACGTGGTACTAAACCACTAAATATTCGCATTAAATTAACTTTTTTTTTTGTATACATGTATGTAGGTAAATTAGGGTGCATCACTCTCCATATACAAAAATTTGGCACTGTTTTTCCATCGGTAATATAAAATGTTTCATATTTTAAGACTTTTGCCAAAATATTACGGAAAAATATAAAGATTTACGTGAGTTGGACCTATGTGAAAACAGCTCGATTTTTTTTATATATAAAATAATTTATTTTTTTCTAAAAAATCACGGCAAATGATGGAAGAATCTAAATAAAAATATTTAAAATAATTTTTATCGAGGATGTATTTTCGAACCGGTCTAATTCGCGACAGTCGAGTCTAAGTAACCCAGATTTATATCTGGTCAAGGACTGTCACTCAAGCAATACTCCCCAAAAACTTTTTGGGGAACTTTTAAATGAAAATACTTTATGCTGTTACAACAACAACGCAAATTTTAATATTTTTCCGGAATATTTTCTCGAAAGTCTTAAAATATAATAAATTGAAAAGTTCCGGTGGAAAACCGCATTATTTTTGGTCATGCACCCTAATGTATGTATGTACATGTTAAAAAAACTTAAGTTTAAAATTTTTCACAAAGAAATTTAGGTATTCACACATTTACGATTATTAAGTTATCTGACTAATGACCGTTTTCTGAAGTAACCTGTAAATTTAAAGCTCACTTTATATTTAAAGGTTGCATTAAAATGTATGACTGCGTCTAAAGTAAAGCATTTTATTATGTGTTTTAAATTGGTTTACAACCAAGAAACATTCATACGTACGTCGAAAACCGATAAGAGAAATGCTTAATTTTAGACATAGTTTTTTATTTTTCATCCAACCTTTGCATTAAATTTTATGATTGCGTCTAAAGTAGGGCTGTGCGATTATTCGATTACTCGAGCAAGTTGGTTAATCAATTATTCGGTTAATCAATTACTCGAGTAATCAAGAATTTGATTACTCAAAACGATAATTAATCGAGTTACTTGAAATATGATTACTCAAAAAAAATAATTTTGCTTGTTAAAAGAGTTTGCTTTGGAAAATGCTTATTTTCTTTTCTACATTCTGTATATGAAAAAAATTTTTTGTTTTAATTTTCGAAAACAGAAACGTTGTTTTCAAAATATCAAGGAACTTTAGCTACTTTATACATATGTAAAGAGTTGAAATGTTGATTACTCATTTTACTCGAAATGTTGATTAATCATAAAGAAAATTACTCAAATATTTTTGTTTTTGGTTAATCAAAAATCTTGATTACTCGAGTAACTGAACTTTTGAGTAATCATAATTTCCAATTAATCGAATAATTGAGTTATTTACTTTATGATTAATTAAAATTTTGAGTAATCAATTAATCGCACAGCTCTAGTCTAAAGTAAAGAATTTTATAATCGGTTTCAAATTGACTTACAACCAAGAAACATACATATGTCAAAAACCGATAATAGAAATGCTCAACTTTAGATATAGCTTTATTTTTAATCCAACCTTTAAATATAAAGTGAGCTTTAAAGTTAAAGGTTACTTCAGAAAACGGCCCTAAATATATGATGTATTATTCGTCAGTATAAAACCTACAAAATTTCTTCTGAATTTCTAATTTAATTAGTTTTTTTTTTTTAAATAGTAAAGCCTAGACACCAGATACCACACGATCCATGCAATTCAGTACGAAGCTAAAGGTCAAAAAATAATTTACCAATTTATGGCCCGCGTAGGAACTACATTAGATAGTAATTTAATTGTCATTTTTCTAATCAGTTTATGGAGTAGTCAAGTGTTTTATTAGACATTGAGAGTTAATGAATAAAATCGATGGCACATTTATGTATGTATGTATGTATGTATATGTCTCTATGAACTCACATAGTACGCCACATCATATTTACTTCATTATAGATACAACCTCTAAATTAATATATTTATAAGTCCATGAGATTCTGTGTAGCTGTGTTACGTATACCGTTGTAGTTATAACTACAATATATTGATTTTTAGAATAACGATGATGGTGGATGTAAATGAAGCACAGTTTTGTCAAAATTAAACTTCTTATTTTAACCATTATCACTTCTTAAAAAGCTTTTAGTAGTTTATTTTTACAAAAGCATGTATAACAAGATCAATAACTAAATATATTTAAATGCCTTACAACTGAAAGATAAAGTTAACGGTGAATAAAACCCACCAAAACTCACTGTTGAATTTTCCAAATAATTAAAAGGATATCTACTTTAATAAGTCGAGCTTAAACATTAAAAGCATAGTAAAACTGTTATAAAATCTAATCAACTGAGACCATGTATTGCATTTTCATAAATGCTTCTGTGTGAAAAAATACATATACGCTCAAAAAGTATGTATTCTAACTTATTGCAGTAATATGTTCATTTACGTTTCAAACGTTTAATTCTAATGTGATAAGAAGTCAATTTTTGTACACGCATAAATAACTAAATAGTATAATAATACAAATTCAATTATGCTATTCGAATTTTAAGACGATGGAGTACATAAACGAAACCTGTCGTGATTAACATATAACTATTTAATATAAGCAGACTTTCGAAGTCACTTCGTTTTTTTGGTTGCAGAAATATATTAACTGCGCCAGTGAGCACATTAGACAATAGAAAAAATACAAGCCCATTCATGTTAACCGCCTCCACTAGCACAGGCAAAGTATTTGCATTGCATGTCGTCACCTCTGTAGAATTATCCAATCCTTCTACTTCGCTACTCTCGTTCACTGCTTTTCTATCATAGTTAGAACATAATGAATTTAAAATCAAATGAAATACCATCGTAAAGAGGAAAGTCATTGTTAGGGCAACAGCCAAAATCCATATGACATAGCCGTAATTGCAGGTAACTCGCGCAATTGAAACTGTAAAAATGCATCCAGCAACCAAGAGCCACATTCCAATGTTTACCACACCTAATACTTTTAATTTATTTATGAACACTCGGTAGCTCAGAACTTTGTCTTCAAGACGAAGACACTGCCCAATATATATGGATAACAAATAGAGTGCTATGAAACCTGGTAGTGAACAAATACCCTCACGATTGGCTCTGAGCAGTGTGTCGCGTGGTATATCTGAATTCATGACGAAGGTAGACACGGTATGCTGAAGTCCATATTCGTGAAGTGCTAGAAGAGCTGCAATGATATTTAAAATCCAAAATTAGAAGATGAGGCGTAATTTAAAGAAAACTAAATTCAAAGAAATTCTTAACAGCAGAACTTAAAATTTGTTAAGTTTTTTTTAGTTATTTGTGTACGAAAAAATTGTTAGTTGAGAGCTTTTCTATATTAATGTCACTGCAATATTACTCACCTGAACCAGCTATTAAATGTGTGAATCTATGTCTAACAAGTCCACTAATAAGGCAGCCAAACAACTTTGTAAGACCCAATGTAAAGAAGGCATTCATATGTACGCCATATTCATGTTCATCTTGTTCGTAATTAATTAACATTATGACCAGGGTACGCATGAGACCCAACACCAGCAACGGTACGACAGTCCATAAAGTTTGCTTAAGATGTGCAACTTTCGTGGGTGGTCGTGAGACAGTGCCCATTGCAAAAACGAATAACCCAATACCAACATCCATTAGGCCAACACCATAGCGACGCGTTTTTCGAAAATGTTTTGGAAACATTTCAAAATCCACAGCGAGTATGCATAGCGCCGTAAGCAGGTTGATAGTTGCACGATCAAGTGTTAATACAAATGGACGGCTGCCACCCAAATTGTACGTCCGATTTTGCTTTTTCTTTGCATAAACCACATATAATGCGGCCAACGAAAAGACGCACAAAAATATCATCACATAGCCAACATAGCTGTTGAGCACATTCACAATTAGCACTGTTGGTACGACGATCAACACAAACTCAATAAGAAATCGGCATACAGCATGCGGAGGAACTCTTTTTTCAATCGCTTGCCCAACAATTCGCGCAATTGCAAAGAAATATACAACCGGCGCGATTGTCCACAGAATATGCCACACATGTGCGAAGGTTTCCCATGACTTTCTATCATAAATATCAGCATGCCCCGTATATGATGTCCGATTCAAAATCATATTCAAAAAACGTTGCTTTTCCGAACAAAGGTACTGTGATTCTGTCGTGCCAGTGGCGCAGAACTCACTGCCTATTCCTTCAAGCGGTTCCATGGCGATCGCTGATAATAACTCTTAGTAAACTTTGATTAGTATCATTAAAGGGGAGATAATAATGCTTTTATACTTTAACGAAATCAACGGATAATCAGTTTGTTGATAAGATATATAGCGCGTAATAGCTTATATCGACCAAAATAGTGGACGCTGGCCAATCCAGGAGTTTGATAGCAAATCCACAACACAAAAAAAAATGTAAACGAAAACAGCTGATGTGTAGTTTGACAGCACGGTGCTACCGTATGCGAAAATTCACAGCGGTGGGTTTGCCACATGCAGCGAAAACATGAAATTTTAATTAAACATTAGTGGTATTCNAATGCAAAATAAAAGAAATCTAGATCGGCGATCACTGAAACGTAGCTAGCAACTGTATACTCGAAAAAGCAATGTTGCCACTTTTTCTCTTTAAACCATGTTCGAATCGTGGAAATTTTGGAAGATCACAGGGTTGCTTTTAGCATTTAGATTCTTAATGCAAAAATGGAGTTGCATTTAGTTGCATTTAGGTGACGAATTTTGTATGTATAAATGTACATTTAGAGTAGCATTTAGAGCTAAATGCGCTAAATGTGCTTTTACGCGTAAGCAAAAACAGCCCATAAAACTTCTGACTAGGAACAGTTGCTCATTTACTCTCTCAAATGTGTTCCCACTTACAGGTTTTATGTCAATAGGAACGACTTCCTGTAAGTTCTGACTAAATCCTGTAAACCGGACTGCTATTGGAACAGACCAACTATTTGCGAATTATCAGTGGAACAAAACAAACAGACGGGATAATAATTGAACCAGATCTCTATCAGGATCATATCGTTGTTGAATTTGCGTGCAAAATTTGTATGCGGATCCCGATTATTGCCTAAGAAAACATAGCTAGAGTTGCGACAGAGTTGCATTGTCTTCAGTTTAACAAGTTTATTCAGTGAAATCGCTGGATAAATTTATCAGAAATGTGTAAACGAGTTTCCTTACAAATTTTGACAGTTCATTTATAAGGTTTACACAATTATAAGTTTTAACGGTTTACAATGCATTTATAAAGTTTGATGAATACCCTTATTAAAATGCTATAAAATAAAACTTTTGAAATACTGTTTATAAAGAAAATTAAAGATAACAGTTACAGAACTGTATACAATGCTCGTTGCATTATTCATTTTCCATTCGTAGAAAATTTTAGATTACACTGGACCACAAATTTCA